AGCTGGCAGTGGAAACGATGCTGCTCTGGAAGGGGAAGCAGGTAGCAACAGCCCGAGGGGCTAACTTAATTACAACCCTACTTAGTATTATTACAATTAAATACAAAGAAATAAATCAGATAAAGTTACTTAAAAGCTTGTGACTATTTTGTTATTGCTTTCTGACTTATTTAAGCGTAGAAAAATTCCAGATTTTTCTGTGGATGCTAAAGCCTTTACTATCCAGCACAATCTATTTCTTAAATTACCCATAATAGAAAGGACATTTTATAATATAAAATTTTATTTTTATATAAAAAATACAATTGATTTTGTCAGGATTAATCTGAATGTGGTTCTTGCTTCCTATGGTTTTGTTTTATTATCTGAGTTATTATTTGCCTTTTGAACTGATTAATCTAATTCAAATTTTAAGTGTTAATTGCTGTTTTCTTAAAATCTGTATGTTTTGTCTAATATTCTCCTTGTTTATTACTTCCATATATCCTAGTGAAGGTTGGTTTAAAATTTTTTTTTGTTGAAGAGAAATCTGTCACCTAAATAATTGGACCAAGGAAATTATGCCTAAGAGCTGATAGTAGAAAATAGATACAGCAGTGGTTGACTAAAGAAAATACACCTGTATTTATTTAGATATATACAAATCTGAATATATGTATATATTATATGTTTCTGAATATGTTATATATAACAACTATGTATGTATATATCTGTTATATATATTCATACATCATAGACATGTTTATGAGTATGTATTGTATATATCTATATATTATATACAAGTGTTTCTGAATATATATTATATATGTAATATATCTATAGAGAGAGAGTTCCTATATACAAAGCTAATCAAGTGTTTCATATGTACTGAGGAGGAAGTAAGTAAGCTGAAAAATGGAATCAAAACCTGCTTTGGAAGGAATTTCCTGATTTAGAAAGAACATCAAGATTTCCTACAAACAGTAACTTTTCTCAGAAACAAATTGCTTAGAGACAAAGAAAATTGGAGAACTGAAAATGATGGCCTTTTCATTTGGGAACTGTTACCATAAAAATTATTGCTTCCTTACAGTTTCCAGTGCCAGGTGCTGAGGAATCTAACTGGCCTCAACCTCACAGAAGCACTGAAGGCACAGAAATAATTCGAGGGAAATAGGACCTGACTCAGGTAATTACCTAGGGCCATCTTACACCTCCAGTTACCATGTCATTCCCTCTGTTTTTTAGCTGATGCTTGGCTGCATACACCAATTTTCATTTTATTGACATGAAGAATATTGTCTTCTGTCACACCAAGGTAATTTTCCTAAAAATCTAGGAGGTACAGAAATAGAGGTGCAGCATCTGTGTGCAAGAAGATCAAGAGCATCGTTGGTGAGAATCAAGCAGAACCCTCCAGGCAGCAGGGGAAGCGCCTCAGCTGCTGCTCTTGTAGGGGAAGCAGGCAGTGACAGGAGGGCCAACTTAACTGGCTGCTCCCTGCACCCTGGGCTGTACATCTCATGTTTTCCTTCTCCACAAAAATCTCAGGGAGTCGGTACTATTTTTCTCACCCTATGTTGTTGATGAAACAACACAGAGACTTGAGAGTTTAAGAATCCTAGATGTGATTGTACAGGTCTTAAGTGGAGACTAAGAGCATAAACCCACATCCATCTGACTTCAAAAATGTATTGTCTTAAGCACCAAACTGCACTACTCCCCAGTAACAGACTGGGACACATCTGTTCTTGAAAACTGAGGGAAATGCACTTAATTATACTTATATTATTATGTATCTTAAAAGAGAGAGAAAAAACCCATGTTCTTACTTGCAGTTACTTGTACAGCAAGACTAACATTCCTGAGGAATAGAGTCCCACCTTGTGAAGTCAGGCATCTGTGCAGAATCTTAGTCTGGCTTTCCATCCTCTGCTTCACAAAGAATTCTCAATTTAAAAAGTTATCTCCCCTTCCTGTCTCATTTGACAACCATTATACCCACCACGAGGAAAGTAATGTGACTAATAGATCCTTCATATCTTTTTCACATACAAGCAAACATACACATGCACAATTACACATAAACCGATCAGTGTACAGCCTCGAATATATCATCAACCCTCTCTTCAGATAACAGTCACTAGGCCACTGTCTCAGCTCCATGAACTCCTCGCCAATGGGACTAGCTCACCAGCCTCCTAAATATAAAATGAAAGGTTGGCTATTTTACCAACACAGCACCCTGCATCAATATAAGGGTCACTGGGATGGCTTCAATCCAGTGGTGTTCAAACTTAGCTGCGCATGAGAGTCACATGGGAAGCTTGAAATCTTTTTCAATAACTAACCACACCCCTGATGCGTTAAATCATAACCGTAAGAGGTGGGATAATCTCAGGCATCAGTATTATCTCCAAGAGCCTCCATATAATTTCAGTGTGCAGCTAAGTTGACAAACATTTCTACAAAGCAGATAGATCATGTGTGTATCACCCTACTATCCTGACCACCACAGTCAAGCTCCTCATTAAGGAGTCGTTGGCCAAGGCGACAAAAATGATAGATGAGGTTTGTAATTCTGTCCCAAGGTTGACCTCTGATCTAATTTCACTTAAACAAACCAAACTAATTTTGCTCACGTTGCAGAAGGAGCCATTCAGTGAGATAACAGAGGTGTTAACTGAATTAATTGTGGTAATCATTCCACAATATATACATGTACCAAACAGTTATGTTGTGCACCTTAAACTTATACAATGTTGTGCATCAGTTACATCTCCATAAAACTAGGAAATAAATAAATAAATTTTTGTTGATGGAAGAAAAGAAAGAGCTATCCAGTTTCAGAATGGTTCCATCTCCTTTGCGTCTGGACATATTTGCTTGGGAAGTCAGTATGGACGTCATTTATAAGAACATTGCCAAATACCCAGGCTGAGATAATAAGAACCACCAGATTCTCCAGTCCTGTCTTCCAGTCATTCTGTGTCTGTAGATCAGAAATACGGCCCAGAAATCTGTACTTTTATGAGGACTCTCTATGTAAATCTTACACAAAGGCAGAAGTGGAAATCACTTAAATACTCAATGGAAGAAGAAAAGTTACCCAAAGTCAATAAGAAACATGACCTTTCACCAGGAATTTTGACAGTGTGTGTGTGTGTGTGTGTGTGTGTGTGTGTGTGTGTGTGTGTGTAAATATCTCTGGAGAATTTGGACCAGGGAGAAAGAGAGACTGAGACAGATAGGGACAGAGAAAGAGACACTGAAATTCCTCATAAACCACATTGCCAGAAAGTATTAAGGGATAAATTATTCTGACTTGACGCGTCTGCAAGAAGACCTTTGAGTCTGCTCATCTGCTGTAGAGGCTGCCAGGGGTGACATGACAAGGAGAGGACTATGAGCAATAGGGTCTGATCCAGTTCAAGCCACTCTGTTGTCAGACGCAGAAGTATTCCCTTTTAGTGAGGGTGAAAGTTAGTGTACATGGGATAAGGATTAAAAGATACCAAATACCAGGAAAGAACCCTGTACCTCTTAATAGAAACAAAATAACCAACAAAGATATTTTCAGTTGTTAATAGTAGATCTGTCAATGGTTAGAAAGAGAGAAATAAAAGAAGAAATTACATTTCCCATGGAATAGAGAAAAACCCAAATGTGTGGGAGTTGGGTACAGAGTTCTTGACTTTTCATAAATAATTTTATCTTTGTGAGAATGACAGTGACAGTGAACACTGGAAAGAAATGGGAGAATGAAGTTACTTTTGTAATCCAAGAATATGTCACTTGTATTTCAGTCATGTATTAAATTGGTAGACTGTTCACTTGAACTATGATGAAATAATTATCTATATTTAAATTTTTTGACTACATATATTATTATAATTTTCAAAATATTTCCCATTAGACTTTAATTCCTTTGTTTCACAATTTCTATTGGTGCATATATAAAATATCAACTAACAATTTTAAATCATGGAGAATAATGGGCTACTAAATAGTGTATATGAAGAAGTTCTTTCAAAGAATTCTGAAGTTGAAAGCTTTGAACTTATCATATGAGTTTTTCCAGTAAATTCTGGTTCTCTCATCTAGTCAAATCAGTATTATAGGTTAGTTTACCCAGCTATGCAATAATATGAGGAGCAAATGAAAACTGTGTCCATTACCAATATTCTCAAATCAGCAATTTTTCCCCAGAAAAACTCTTGAACTCTAAACATATATACTGTTTAGTCTCTAACATGCAGGGAAAAACTATGTTAAATGAAATTTCTGAATAATAAAAGATAATAGTTCTGCTATCTTAATGTCTTCAAACAATGTATTAGGACTTTTCTATAAGTAATAAAATTTCAATTACAAGGGAATAAACTTCTAATAACAATATCCAGATTACCAAAGCAATAGCCTCAGTATTACCGATTTATATAAACCTGAATGCTAACACCATGTGTTGTGCCACTTCACCTAGATTACAAATTATCTAAATTTTAAATCTCATAACAATATGTATTTTCATAAGGAGGTGGGGAAGGAAGAGTTATGTGCTCTTGTGTGCATATGCTTAGCTGGTACACAAACCATTCGCTAAGATACTTAGACATTTCCAAATCATTTGGTGTAGTGCTGCTGCGCCAGCCATCAGGATGTCTACCCAGGGACCCCCGACACCTCTGCATGATCCAGCTACTGTCACACACAGCAGGGTCTCCCGGACCCCATTCCAGCACTGTGGCCTGTGTCAGCTCTGGCTGTTAAATGTTTAAGTATCACCCCTGTGCACTTGTGCCTATGTAACACCAAAGCAAAAAGAGTCTGACTTGAGAGAGGAAATTCAGTGAAATGATTCTTAGATAGAATAATAAGGCCGTAGAACAGCCATTCCTATGGGCCCTCAGCAATAACAAGAACATCAGATCAGAAGCATCAGAAGGCATCCAATGATGAAGCGGAGAATGTTCTGTGAAACAAATTTATTTGTCTGATTGTTTAAATACACAGTCATTTTTTTCAAGTTTTTAGCCTAGTAGGGGAGCATTCTTCTTGCATGAGTTTAACCATGAGTCCCTTACTTCTTGGTGAATTTGGAGGAAGCACATTAATCTAAATCTTCAGTCTTTATTGATGCAGCTGTCTTCTCACAAATCCAAGAAATTTCAGAACTGCAGCAGGAGATATAAATACTTCCTTTTTGAAGATAAGCATCTTTTGGATCCATTGATCTGGGCATATTCTTTAACACTAAATCTGAAAATCAATTCATTTAAAATTCATTATAAATTTTGGATTTGAAATTTGATCATAGTTCTGTGTTCTCAGTCATCAAATAACATGTATCTGAACATTGAGAGACCTTCGTTTCCACAAGACATCAAAACCCCAAAAGCTGGCATATCTGAGTTGTTTATTTCAAGTTAATCACAAGTTAAAGACAGAGCTTAAGAGAGAAAATGAATGACTACATGGACGTGGTTGTGCCATCAGTCCTTAGTACCCCTGCTAAGGAATTGGTACAATTTTTTAGAAAATAAGGCTTATCAAGTCTAAATCTCCTGGGTACCCCAAACTGATTTTTATCCAAATAATGTGCATTACAGTGAAATACTCTTTCTTGCTTTGGCGCTGGGCTTCCTCCATCTTATTCTCAGCATATGCACTTGCTCCGAGCAGCTTTACACTGCAGGAAGTGGCTGTGATCTGGAGCTCAATTTCATTAACCTGTGTGTGACAGCCCTAGTAAGGGGATTGGTCCCCAGGCTCTGAACTTTGTTGCCGGGGCTACCTCTTCCATACTTTAATTAGGAGTGGATGGAAGAGCCAGGGATAATTAAAATTCCATTGGGAGAAGAGAATCATCTTTTTAGATTCCAAAATGGAAACAACTGCACTTACGAGGTGTCATAGTCCTACTCTGTAAATGCTCAGATTAATGTGTAGTCATTTCATGCCCAGTATTGCTCCATTTACAATGAAGTTACTGTCATTTTTGTGTTTATTACCTTGCATGTGTTTTTTGCTAATATTATTTGTGTGAAACCAGATTAGTCAATTGACTATGACTAATTGTAATGATTAGAGATGAGGGTTGATTTGAGTAGAAACAGCCATGGCAAAACTTTGGAAATGGATGAAGATAAAGTGTACCTGGGGAGAAAATATAGCCATATCATTGTTTACTCTTCAAGTTATGTGTGAGTCACAGCTGAAGCACAGTATCTTTTATGTAAAATGAGAGATTACAATACATTTTAAGGAAACTGACAACATGTATTAAAGAGTAAAGCAGGAGTGAGGTGGTTGGATTAATAACTTGACAGGTATACGGAGGTAGAGAAAAACTTATTACACCCAGAAAGATGCCAATGGTCTCAAATTTCACTAATATACAAATACCAGGAGAAAGAGGATTAAAGATGGTGGTGTGAGAGGTGGTACAGAGCCCTCCTCCTAAAACCACACATAATATGAAAATATAATTAATACCACTAATCCTGAAAGAGCAACTGGAAAGAAGGCTGTGACAGACTATACACCTGGAGAAAAGAATAGACTTCAAGGAACAGGGTAATGTGTACCAAAGACATGACCTGAAGGGACCCAAGCCCTTCCCCCACTCAAGCTCACCATTGGAAGGAAGAGAAATGGAGTGGGGAGGGAATGGAGGCCTGGGACTGCTGAACCCTAGCTATGGAGATCTGCTCTGGGGCACAAACCTACATTTCATGGTGCTCTGGTGATTAGGGGGGTTGGAAAGCTAAGACAGGAAAAATACCTGGAGAGACTGAGATTCCAGTCACTTGTGGAAAACAGGGATCCATATGCAGCTGCTCTGCTACAAAAGAAAGGCAGGCAGTCTGAGAGACTTCCTAACAACAAGAGGGCTGCTAAAGGGGCAAGGATTGCACCAAGTTTACTGCTCAGGAGAAAGGACAGGTTGACAAAATTGTCCAGGTGCACTCAGCCCAGCAGTTTGGGAACTTTAACGAACTTCAGGTGCTGCAGCCCACTGGCTGGTTACACAGCTCCAAGGCCCCCCTCTGTGATACACAGCCTTCTGTGTCTTGGCCAGCCTGCACCTCACTTGCAAACCAGCAAACCCTGTACTGGCATTAGGCCAGCCAGAGGGAAGCCTTGCCTACAGCAGCTACAAATGCAAAGCATAGAGGCTTATACCTATGTGCTTGGCCAACTGGTTCTGGAAGTGGAGAAAGGCATAGCAGCTGGGAAGCAGTAAACAGCTCTTTCCCTCCCCCCAGGCACCAATACTCTCCCCTGAGACTCCCAACATTGCTCCAAGGACTGAGCAGCTCCAGAGTATAGCTTCTGGGCACCAGAGAGCGCCACATACAAACATGAAACATCAAAGGAACCTAGTTCAAAGCAAAATCCTACACCAGAAAAAGAGTCAAATGAAACCAATCTCATGAATCTTCCTGAAAGAGATTTCAAAATAAATTTATGTTGTGCACCTTAAACTTATACAATGTTGTGCATCAGTTACATCTCCATAAAACTAGGAAATAAATAAATAAATTTTTGTTGATGGAAGAAAAGAAAGAGCTATCCAGTTTCAGAATGGTTCCATCTCCTTTGCGTCTGGACATATTTGCTTGGGAAGTCAGTATGGACGTCATTTATAAGAACATTGCCAAATACCCAGGCTGAGATAATAAGAACCACCAGATTCTCCAGTCCTGTCTTCCAGTCATTCTGTGTCTGTAGATCAGAAATACGGCCCAGAAATCTGTACTTTTATGAGGACTCTCTATGTAAATCTTACACAAAGGCAGAAGTGGAAATCACTTAAATACTCAATGGAAGAAGAAAAGTTACCCAAAGTCAATAAGAAACATGACCTTTCACCAGGAATTTTGACAGTGTGTGTGTGTGTGTGTGTGTGTGTGTGTGTGTGTGTGTGTGTGTAAATATCTCTGGAGAATTTGGACCAGGGAGAAAGAGAGACTGAGACAGATAGGGACAGAGAAAGAGACACTGAAATTCCTCATAAACCACATTGCCAGAAAGTATTAAGGGATAAATTATTCTGACTTGACGCGTCTGCAAGAAGACCTTTGAGTCTGCTCATCTGCTGTAGAGGCTGCCAGGGGTGACATGACAAGGAGAGGACTATGAGCAATAGGGTCTGATCCAGTTCAAGCCACTCTGTTGTCAGACGCAGAAGTATTCCCTTTTAGTGAGGGTGAAAGTTAGTGTACATGGGATAAGGATTAAAAGATACCAAATACCAGGAAAGAACCCTGTACCTCTTAATAGAAACAAAATAACCAACAAAGATATTTTCAGTTGTTAATAGTAGATCTGTCAATGGTTAGAAAGAGAGAAATAAAAGAAGAAATTACATTTCCCATGGAATAGAGAAAAACCCAAATGTGTGGGAGTTGGGTACAGAGTTCTTGACTTTTCATAAATAATTTTATCTTTGTGAGAATGACAGTGACAGTGAACACTGGAAAGAAATGGGAGAATGAAGTTACTTTTGTAATCCAAGAATATGTCACTTGTATTTCAGTCATGTATTAAATTGGTAGACTGTTCACTTGAACTATGATGAAATAATTATCTATATTTAAATTTTTTGACTACATATATTATTATAATTTTCAAAATATTTCCCATTAGACTTTAATTCCTTTGTTTCACAATTTCTATTGGTGCATATATAAAATATCAACTAACAATTTTAAATCATGGAGAATAATGGGCTACTAAATAGTGTATATGAAGAAGTTCTTTCAAAGAATTCTGAAGTTGAAAGCTTTGAACTTATCATATGAGTTTTTCCAGTAAATTCTGGTTCTCTCATCTAGTCAAATCAGTATTATAGGTTAGTTTACCCAGCTATGCAATAATATGAGGAGCAAATGAAAACTGTGTCCATTACCAATATTCTCAAATCAGCAATTTTTCCCCAGAAAAACTCTTGAACTCTAAACATATATACTGTTTAGTCTCTAACATGCAGGGAAAAACTATGTTAAATGAAATTTCTGAATAATAAAAGATAATAGTTCTGCTATCTTAATGTCTTCAAACAATGTATTAGGACTTTTCTATAAGTAATAAAATTTCAATTACAAGGGAATAAACTTCTAATAACAATATCCAGATTACCAAAGCAATAGCCTCAGTATTACCGATTTATATAAACCTGAATGCTAACACCATGTGTTGTGCCACTTCACCTAGATTACAAATTATCTAAATTTTAAATCTCATAACAATATGTATTTTCATAAGGAGGTGGGGAAGGAAGAGTTATGTGCTCTTGTGTGCATATGCTTAGCTGGTACACAAACCATTCGCTAAGATACTTAGACATTTCCAAATCATTTGGTGTAGTGCTGCTGCGCCAGCCATCAGGATGTCTACCCAGGGACCCCCGACACCTCTGCATGATCCAGCTACTGTCACACACAGCAGGGTCTCCCGGACCCCATTCCAGCACTGTGGCCTGTGTCAGCTCTGGCTGTTAAATGTTTAAGTATCACCCCTGTGCACTTGTGCCTATGTAACACCAAAGCAAAAAGAGTCTGACTTGAGAGAGGAAATTCAGTGAAATGATTCTTAGATAGAATAATAAGGCCGTAGAACAGCCATTCCTATGGGCCCTCAGCAATAACAAGAACATCAGATCAGAAGCATCAGAAGGCATCCAATGATGAAGCGGAGAATGTTCTGTGAAACAAATTTATTTGTCTGATTGTTTAAATACACAGTCATTTTTTTCAAGTTTTTAGCCTAGTAGGGGAGCATTCTTCTTGCATGAGTTTAACCATGAGTCCCTTACTTCTTGGTGAATTTGGAGGAAGCACATTAATCTAAATCTTCAGTCTTTATTGATGCAGCTGTCTTCTCACAAATCCAAGAAATTTCAGAACTGCAGCAGGAGATATAAATACTTCCTTTTTGAAGATAAGCATCTTTTGGATCCATTGATCTGGGCATATTCTTTAACACTAAATCTGAAAATCAATTCATTTAAAATTCATTATAAATTTTGGATTTGAAATTTGATCATAGTTCTGTGTTCTCAGTCATCAAATAACATGTATCTGAACATTGAGAGACCTTCGTTTCCACAAGACATCAAAACCCCAAAAGCTGGCATATCTGAGTTGTTTATTTCAAGTTAATCACAAGTTAAAGACAGAGCTTAAGAGAGAAAATGAATGACTACATGGACGTGGTTGTGCCATCAGTCCTTAGTACCCCTGCTAAGGAATTGGTACAATTTTTTAGAAAATAAGGCTTATCAAGTCTAAATCTCCTGGGTACCCCAAACTGATTTTTATCCAAATAATGTGCATTACAGTGAAATACTCTTTCTTGCTTTGGCGCTGGGCTTCCTCCATCTTATTCTCAGCATATGCACTTGCTCCGAGCAGCTTTACACTGCAGGAAGTGGCTGTGATCTGGAGCTCAATTTCATTAACCTGTGTGTGACAGCCCTAGTAAGGGGATTGGTCCCCAGGCTCTGAACTTTGTTGCCGGGGCTACCTCTTCCATACTTTAATTAGGAGTGGATGGAAGAGCCAGGGATAATTAAAATTCCATTGGGAGAAGAGAATCATCTTTTTAGATTCCAAAATGGAAACAACTGCACTTACGAGGTGTCATAGTCCTACTCTGTAAATGCTCAGATTAATGTGTAGTCATTTCATGCCCAGTATTGCTCCATTTACAATGAAGTTACTGTCATTTTTGTGTTTATTACCTTGCATGTGTTTTTTGCTAATATTATTTGTGTGAAACCAGATTAGTCAATTGACTATGACTAATTGTAATGATTAGAGATGAGGGTTGATTTGAGTAGAAACAGCCATGGCAAAACTTTGGAAATGGATGAAGATAAAGTGTACCTGGGGAGAAAATATAGCCATATCATTGTTTACTCTTCAAGTTATGTGTGAGTCACAGCTGAAGCACAGTATCTTTTATGTAAAATGAGAGATTACAATACATTTTAAGGAAACTGACAACATGTATTAAAGAGTAAAGCAGGAGTGAGGTGGTTGGATTAATAACTTGACAGGTATACGGAGGTAGAGAAAAACTTATTACACCCAGAAAGATGCCAATGGTCTCAAATTTCACTAATATACAAATACCAGGAGAAAGAGGATTAAAGATGGTGGTGTGAGAGGTGGTACAGAGCCCTCCTCCTAAAACCACACATAATATGAAAATATAATTAATACCACTAATCCTGAAAGAGCAACTGGAAAGAAGGCTGTGACAGACTATACACCTGGAGAAAAGAATAGACTTCAAGGAACAGGGTAATGTGTACCAAAGACATGACCTGAAGGGACCCAAGCCCTTCCCCCACTCAAGCTCACCATTGGAAGGAAGAGAAATGGAGTGGGGAGGGAATGGAGGCCTGGGACTGCTGAACCCTAGCTATGGAGATCTGCTCTGGGGCACAAACCTACATTTCATGGTGCTCTGGTGATTAGGGGGGTTGGAAAGCTAAGACAGGAAAAATACCTGGAGAGACTGAGATTCCAGTCACTTGTGGAAAACAGGGATCCATATGCAGCTGCTCTGCTACAAAAGAAAGGCAGGCAGTCTGAGAGACTTCCTAACAACAAGAGGGCTGCTAAAGGGGCAAGGATTGCACCAAGTTTACTGCTCAGGAGAAAGGACAGGTTGACAAAATTGTCCAGGTGCACTCAGCCCAGCAGTTTGGGAACTTTAACGAACTTCAGGTGCTGCAGCCCACTGGCTGGTTACACAGCTCCAAGGCCCCCCTCTGTGATACACAGCCTTCTGTGTCTTGGCCAGCCTGCACCTCACTTGCAAACCAGCAAACCCTGTACTGGCATTAGGCCAGCCAGAGGGAAGCCTTGCCTACAGCAGCTACAAATGCAAAGCATAGAGGCTTATACCTATGTGCTTGGCCAACTGGTTCTGGAAGTGGAGAAAGGCATAGCAGCTGGGAAGCAGTAAACAGCTCTTTCCCTCCCCCCAGGCACCAATACTCTCCCCTGAGACTCCCAACATTGCTCCAAGGACTGAGCAGCTCCAGAGTATAGCTTCTGGGCACCAGAGAGCGCCACATACAAACATGAAACATCAAAGGAACCTAGTTCAAAGCAAAATCCTACACCAGAAAAAGAGTCAAATGAAACCAATCTCATGAATCTTCCTGAAAGAGATTTCAAAATAAAAATCATAAATATGCTCATGGAGGTACAGAAAAATATTCAAGAACTCAGGAATGAATTCCAGTCAGAGATCCAACATTATGGAGCACAGTATCAGGAATGAAACATACAATGGAAGGTTTTAAAAGTAGATTAGATATGGTGGAGGAGACAATAAATGAAATAGAAATTAGAGAAGAGGAATACAAAGAAGCTGAGGGACAGGGAGAAAAAGATCTCTAAGAATGAAAGAATATTGAGAGAACTGTGTGATCAATCCAAATGGAACAATATTAAAGGCACCAGAAGAAAAAGAGAGAGAAAAAAGGGACAGAAAGTGTCTTTGAGGAGGTAATTACTGAAAACTTTCCCAATCTGGGGAAGGAGATAGTCTCTCAGGCTGCGGAAGTGCACAGATCTCCCAACACAAGGGACCCAAGGAAGACAATACCAAGACATATAATAATCAAAATGGCAAAGATCAAGGATAAGGGCAGACTATTAAAAGCAGCCGGAGAGAGAAATAAGATCACATACAAAGGAAAGCCCTTCAGGTTATCATCAGACTTCTCAGCAGAAACCTTAGAGGCCAGAAGGGAGTGGCATGATGTATTTAATGCAATGAAGCAGAAGGGCCTGGAACCAAGATTACTTTATCCAGAAGGATTATCATTTAAATTTGAAGGAAGGAGTAAACAATTTCCAGGTAAGCAAAAGCTGAGAGAATTTACCTCCCACAAACCATCTCTACAGTGTATTTTGGAGGGACTGCTATTGATGTAAGTGTTCCTAAGGTTTAATAGTGGTCACCAGAGGTAATAAAACCATAGTAAAGAAAGTAGAACAGTTAATTACTAAGCAAATGTCAACTTAAATCAACTACCCCCAAAGTCAGTCAAAGGATAGACAAAGAGTACAGAATATGATACCTAATATATAAATAATTGAGGAGGAAGAAAAAGGAGGAGATAAAAAGAACTTTTAGATTGTGCTTGTAATAGCATATTAAGTGAGTTAAATTAGACTCTTAGATAGTAAGGAAGTTACCTTTGAACCTTTGGTAACCACGAATTTAAAGTCTGCAATGGCAAAAAGTACATACCTATCAATAATCACCCTAATGTAAATGGTCTGAATGCACCAATCAAAAGACATAGAGCCACTGAATGGATAAAAAGACAAGACCCATCTATATGCAGCCTATAAGAGATTCACTATAAACCCAAAGACATACACAGACTAAAAGTGAAGGGATGGAAAAAGATATTTCATGCAACTAATAGTGAGAAAAAAGCAGGAGTTACAGTACTTGTATCAGACAAAATAGACTCCAAAACAAAGAAAGTCATAAGAGACAAAGAAGGACTTTACATAATGATAAAGGGGTCAATCTGACAAGAAGATATAACCATTATAAATATTTATGCTCCCAATACAAGAGCACCTAGATATGTGAAACAAATACTAACAGAATTAAAAGGGGAAATAGAATGCAATGCATTCATTCTAAGAGACTTCAACACTCCACTCACTCCAAAGGACAGAACAACCACACTGAAAATAAGTAAGGACACATAGGCACTGAACAACACATTAGAATAGATGGACCTAACAGACGTCTACAGAACTCTACACCCAAAAGCAGCAGAATACACACTCTTCTCAAGTACACATGGATCATTTTCAAGAATAGATCATATACTTAGCCACAAAAAGAGCCTTGGTAAATTCAAAAAGATTGAAATTGTACCAACCCATTTCTCAAACCACAAAGGTATGAAACTAGAAATAAATTATACAAAGAAAATGAAAAATCCCACTAACACATGGAGGCTTCACAACATGCTCCTAAATAACCAATGGATCAATGACCAAATAAAAACAGAGATCAAGTAATATATGGTGACAAATGACAACAATAATTCAACACCGCATAATCTGTGGGATGCAGCAAAGGCTGTGCTAAAAGTGAAGTATATTGCAATACAGGCCTACCTCAGGAAAGAAGAACAATCCATATGAACAGTCTAAACTCACAATTAACGAACCTAGAAAAAGAAGAACAAATGCGGCCCAAAGTCAGTAGAAGGAGGGACATAATAAAGATAAGAACATAAATAAATAAAATCGAGAAGAATAAAACAATAGAAAAAATCAATGAAAGAAGGAGCTAGTTCTTCAAGAAAATAAACAAAATAGATAAATCCCTAGCCAGACTTATCAAGAAAAAAAGAGTCTACACACATAAACAGAATCAGAAGTGAGAAAGGAAAAATCACTACCAACACCACAGAAATACAAAGAATTATTAGAGAATACTATGAAAAACTATATGCTAACAAACTGGATAACCTAGAAGAAATGGACAACTTTCTAGAAAAATAGCATTTTCCAAGGCAGACCCAGAAAGAAACAGAAAATCTGAACTGACGAACTACCAGCAACAAAATTGAACTGGTAATCAAAAAACTACCTAAGAGCAAAACTCCTGAACCAGATGGCTTCACCGCTGAATTTTATCAAACATTTAGTAAAGACCTAACACCCATCTTCCTTAAAGTATTCCAAAAAGTGGAAGAGGAGGGAATACTTCCAAACTCATTCTATGAGACCAGCATCACTCTAATACCAAAACCAGGCAAAGACACCACAAAAAAGAAAATTACAGACCAATATCCCTGATGAACATAGATGCAAAAATACTCAACAAAATATTAGCAAACTGAATTCAAAAATATATCAAAAGGTCATCTATCATGATCAAATAGGATTTATTCCAGGGATGCAAGGATAGTACAGGATTAGAAAATCCATCA